GGGTCAATAAAGAGAAAACCAAATATATGTGCATTAACAGACAAAAGAGACGAGATAGAATAGGACAAAATGTAACAATAGACCCCTATAACTTTGAAAAAGTGGAGAGTTTTTAAATATCTCGGAGCGACTATCACCACAGATAACTATATCACTAAAGAGATAAAAGGGAGAATTCAGGCAGCAAACAGATGTATGTATAGCCTCCACAACACTATTAAATCCAAGAGCCTAACACGAACATCAAAAAACCAGGATATATAAAACAGTAATTAGACCGATGCTCATGTATGGGTGTGAGACGTGGACGCTGACAAAAGCAATGGAAAGTAAACTGAGATGATTTGAGAGAAAAATCCTCAGAAAGATCTTCGGTCCCTATCACGATCAGAATACTAACCAATACTGAATGAGAACAAATGCCGAGGTCAAACAAATGTATAGTGCTAGCGACGTAGTAAAAGAGATTAAATCCCAACGTCTAAGATGGGCTGGCCATGTTCATAGGCTCCCTAATAACCGCCTTACCAAGTTAATCTGGAAAAAGGCCCGATTAGGGAGAAGGCCCTTAGGACGTCCACGAATACGATGGAGAGATAATATATGGTCAGATTTGAGAACAATGGGGCTACCCACTGACTTAAACATCATGGACGACCGTTCGAGATGGAAGCAGGTTGTGCAGTCAGCCAAGACCCACCCCGGGTTGTAGTGCTACCAGAAGAAGAAGAAGAATAATAATGGTGACAGTATGCTGCTAGTTTCTTTCTTAGTTTTGAACTTATCTGAATATATTACGTGTACTTTAACTTTGGCTGAATTTTTATCATAGAGATTTTTTATTAGGTTAACTGGGTAGTTAGGTACACTTATATTTTCAGTTATACTTCCCATTATACTATATCGAAAGCCTTCGTGTAATCTAAGAAACATAGCTGCATTGGTATGCTGTGGTCTCTTGCTTTTTCTCCCATATGTCTGGTGTTCAGTATCTGCTCCATGCTCTATTCTTTTCTTTTTATGTTACTGTTACTTATGTGAAAAATTTTAATAGAAAACTATAAATTTTTTCAAGATACCAAAAATGTCTGTTAGAAAAATATGTGTTATTTAACAGTAGATAGATATGACCACCGAAAGAAACGAAAGTGATATTATCTACATTTTATTGATCCGTTCCGCACTGATAAATATATTTTGTAGTAACAGCCACCAAAATAAAAATTAATTAACGAAAACAGAGAGTGTCATGCACATTTTACTTTACCGAAAATGGTAAAAAAAGTGTAAGTGTATCAAATTTCACTTAAGATTGGATCTACCCAAACTCTTACTTTTTTTTATACAGCTAAAATTTTTTCTAATAGTCCTATCATATACAATCATTATATTTAGAAAGTTCTTTAACAATAAAGTATAATCTACAGTCTGCGATAGTACCTACCAAAAGTACCAGACAAGTTTGGTCATTATAATTCAATAATTCGATTTTTGACAGAACTTATTATTTTACATATCATGTTTTACATATCATAATGACTGTACTTTATTTCGTATTGAGAGGGAACTGTTTTACATATCATAATGACTTTACTTTATTTCGTATTAAGAGGGAAAACGGGTTTTAAGACAATTTATTTTTTTTTAAAATACAAAAATACTTTTCATTTGGAAGTTCAACCTCTTTACCACTTCACAATTATGTAATTATGGCACAAGCAAGCCTAGGTTTTCGTCTTATTTCCACCCTCTATTATGTGCTACTATTCTTTCGTTTACATATTTCATCATAATTGTCGTTTTACCCTACTTATTCCTGTTATTGCTTTTGTGTTTCTTATGCATATTTCACCCTTTCATTACTGAGTTCACTGTAGCTAAATAAAACTGTTTAAAATAAGTTTACTAATATTTGTTAATACCTAGAGACCAAACAAAGCGATTGATTTTTTTCACATTGTTGCGTGTCCTTGTATCCTTAGAAAGGATATGGGACATATATGTCCCATTAGTGTTGAATGGTGGGATAACTAAATTTCATCAGTAAAGAAACAAACTTATATTCAAAATAATCATCTTTGATCATCTGTTTCTCTCGGTTAGATATTTTTCCAGAACGGCCACTATTTTATAACGGCCAGAAATAATTTTAGAAATATACCAGGACGAGAACCTTTATTAATATTTATTATTGTTATCCCATTTCTCTGGGCGGGAATTTATTTTTTCGTACAAAAGTTTGTATTTGGTATATTCCATTGTGCAGCCAATTTATTCCTTTCAGACTCATCTTTAGATATTTTCGCGTTATCAGAACTTTCTTCGTTGGAAGCAGTGATGTTTACATCCACACGGTCAGAAGTATTCTCAGGTACTTTACCAAAACCTGAAGAAGAATTGTCAGGTGGTACATATTCAGACAACATAAGGTTCTTCCTTGGATTCATTTTCAGAAATATTTGAGAGGTTTTCAATTTCTTCTTGAAGCTCTTTTTGTGTTAGAAATCGTCTACGTGCTATAGTAAGTCTTCAACGAAACAATACGAATGGGATAAATACGACCGGTATGAATTACTACTGACATACTACAGTGCCGTTTAGAAATTATGGTATAATCAATAAAAACAACATCAAAAATAAACAATATGTATCACTAACCTGTGTTAATCAGCAACTAAATTATGTATAACTCTACTAAAATTGTATTATTTACGAGTGATTTATGCAGGTGTTTAGTTAACATCAATTTATAGGTTACAATTATGATATGTAGGTTGCATACCACTAGGTGATGAGTAAATATGATGAGTTAAAGTCATATTTCCACCTTTTTAACCCCTTTGCACTGATTGGTCAATGACTCTTCCTTCGCTTAATTTTTTTAAGAAATGCTAGTAAATAAAATTGAAACTAAGAAATAAAGGAACATTGGAAACCTTTAGTATATCATTACATTCAAACATGTACGGATTTATACTAAATACTTACCAAAAAGTCATCGTAAACAAACAGTTTAAAAGAATAATTACCTACACTGTACCAGTACCAGTTATGACTTGTTATATTTAAAAATACTATTTGTCGGACTAAAAACTTATTGGAATTCGGATTTATTGGAATAAAAATAAGATTTATCTATCTATATAAGGATTTTTTACAGCTGTCGCTGCCTTCCTTCTTTCAACCAACTTCTCCAGTCCTTTCTGTTCTGCCATTCTCCATCTCTAAAGTCTTGTCTTTCCATAGCCTCGTCCAATTCATCCCTGCATGATCTGCGGGGTCTACCTCTTTTCCTCCTTCCTATTGGGCTCCAATCCAAAATCTTTGCTATCCACCTTGTATGATCTGTTCTTCTCACAGGTCCATACCAAATTAAACGTTTTTATTCGATGTAGCTGAGTATGTCTTGTTCTACTTCCATTCTTCGTTTTATCTCCCCATTTTTGATGCGATCTATTTTTGTCACTCTGCAGCTTCTTCTCATGAATTACATTTCAGTTGCTATGATTTTGGAAATGTTTCGTTTATTTATTACCCAATTCTCTGCTCCATAGGTCATTATACTGCATACCAAGGTGTTATAAATTCTCTTCTTTGTATTTCTGGTAATCTGTCTATCCCACCAGAAGGCAAATAAATGCCAACTACCCGTATTTCTTGCCTTCGTCGACTATAAAAAGGCGTTTGATAGTATCGAGATGTGGGCCATAGAACAAGCTATTAATAATTGTAGAATAGACTCGAGATATAGGCAACTAATACATAATATATATGAAAATGCAACTATGATAGTACAACTAGACGAAAATACAAATCACATCTCCATTAAGAGAGGAGTGAGACAAGGAGACGTAATATCGCCAAAACTTTTTAACCTAGCCCTAGAACACATTTTCAAAACTACAAATTGGTTCAACCTATGGCATTAACGTTAATGGCAACAAGTTAAACCACCTCAGATTCGCTGACGACATAGTGATTATAGCGAGCATATTCGAAGAACTGCAAATTATGTTGGGGGAACTAGCAGCCAGCTTCCAATATGTCGGCCTAAAAATGAATATGAAAAAAAAAACAAAAAGAATGACAAACACAGAAGACCCCAGACATATAACTATAAACGGCAGAGAGATAGAACAAATCCAGGAATATATCTACCTAGGCAAAATCCTGAGACTTGACAAAGAGAACCAAAGTGCGGAAATTACTAAAAGAGCAAGACTAGCATGGGCAGGATTTAAAAAACTTAGTTGGATACTTAAGAACCGCAAAATACCCCAATACTTGAGGAGCAAAGTGTTCAACCAATGTGTTCTTCCTATCATGACATATGGATGTCAAACCTGGACCCTAACCAAGGCAAACATGAATAAACTCGCCACAATAGAAAGAACAACTTTAAAAATCTGGCAAATGAAAGATATAGAACAACTCATAATAAACATTTTAAAGCGAATATTTTTATGTTAATTTTAACCAAGATATGCTTTTTACGAACTTTTAATAACAAGCTCTGAAGTGCACGGTCAGCTTCTAGCAAATAAAAACACAATAACTACGAAACTTCATGTAGATTCCGAGATTCATATTACTTTATCATTATAAATAAAAAAGGTATAGCAGTTTGTAGTTAAAATTTTCATTTCGAAAATGTAGCTAAATTAATTTGTTTTAAATAAAATTCACCCACAAACGTTGGCAGTTTGGTTTAATAGAAGTTATAGAACAATTCAAAACGAACATTTTAAGCTTTGACGAATATATAAATAAAAAAAGAAGAGGGGGACTCAGAAATAAATAGATATATACAAAGAAAAAAAAAGAATATGGTGAAAACTATAAGAATATATTTAAATAAATGATACAATTAAATAAAATAAAAAACCTGAGGAAATCTCTATAGAGAGCATTAGAATCTTAATGGTTAAAATGACGTACGGTTGATAGCAAAAGCAGAAAAAGCAATCACAACAAAACATAAAATAACAATACGAAGTCTTTATTAAACACAAATAAATAATAATAAATAAACAATAAATTAAAACAGACTATTTTGGTATCTATTATGCTGGTTTGTAGCCAGGTTGCAATCCCAAAGGTAGGGGCATGTCAAAACTTCTTAACTTCTTCCGTAGGAAGAATGTCCATAACTGGGATGATGTTCTTCATGTCCTACCGAGTGTGAGCTAGAGTGGCTATAGACAGGCTTTGATACTATCTCGTACGTGGTAGCTTTTTGGTTGTGTGTAATAGCTTTCAGTCCAATTATAACAGAAAGAAGAAGCGAGATCAGACCAGTCATCAATGCTTTTCCTGCAATTGCCGCTATACCTCCCAAAGCCAATGCGAGTAGTGTTCCTTTCAACATTGCTCCAGCAGCTACCATCATTCCCATGCCGCCACCTCCGCCGCCTCCTTTTTTACCACCTCCACCACCGCCTCCGCCGCCGCCACCACCACCTCCTCTTGCGGACTCAACAGTGTCTTTGTTAATCAAATTAAGCCGTAAGGAATGACTGTTTAGATAAGAAGTCACTTTTTTCAACAGGAACGCGTCTAGTCGGGCGTCGGGATCATTGGGAAAATCTCGTGCTAGTTCAGATACCATATCTGCCGTCGAACTTTTGTCACTTTGCTCTTCCTTTATCACCGAAACTCCCGGTAGAACACTATAATTATTTTCCTCATTTAACTTATCGACCCAAGACACTATGTCCAATTTTAAACATGTTGTCGAATAACTGGTTGCACAATCTCTTGACAAAGATTTTTTGTATTCACTTTTTGACTTAGATTCGGGTATTTCTTCGTCCGCGAACACTGCAATAGCTATACACAACACCGACAGTAAAGTCAGACATTTTTTCGAGAACATTGTTAGCAAAAATGTTCTCTGTTCTACTGATAGTGCAACTAGAGCGGTCGTGCTTTTATATAGTAGAGTTGTAGAGTATGTAGAAAAATTCTTTCATGTTGTTTATCAACGATTACCCATTTATCATGAATGGAAATTACTCTCTAGACCAGTTTCCTATAGAGCAAGTACGAGCATAAGCGGTGCGTTGTTGGTTTCGAATGAAAAACGGGGTTAGCAAGTTTTTATATGTTAATACTTAAATTAGTAACAAATAATACAATAAAATACAAATACACAATTCTCTTTTATTAATTATTACAAAGTTATCTATCTATTTCGTAAACAATAGCGATTTTTACCTATTTGTAGTTATTCCCCAATGTTTTTTAATCATCTCCTTAGCATTTTAAATCTCAGTTAAGCAGATTATTCGACTATTTTAGCTCTTGTAATTATAGGTGAATATACAATAGAAAACTGTATTCGTGGGTAAAGTGGTACTTAATATCCATTTCCATTGAAAACCCACCAAATATTCGCCCCGTGAAATAACATATTTCTTGTCCATTTTATTATTGATGGGAGTAATAAACTTACCTAAAGTAGAAGATTATTGGGCGACATTCTGCTTTTCTTCTTCTTCAAGTTTCACTCCTATCGGAGATTGGAAATCATTCTTGCAATTATAATTTTATTGGTTACTCGCCTGAATAGTTCAATTGAACTGCATCCAAACCATTCACGGAGATTGCGTAGCCGAGTCTTCCTACGCTTCTCCTACCTTTGATTTTACCCTGCATTATATCCTTAGTAGTTCGTACTTTTCACCTCTCATTATGTGCCCCAAGTATTCCATTTCCTGATTTTTGTGGAATTTAAAACTTCGCATTGTTCTCCTCGTTGTTCGAGAACTTGTTCGTTTGTTTTGCGATCCATCCATGATGGATTCAAAATACGTCGGTAACACACATTTCGAATGCTTTTAGGTTTTTAATGTTGGATTTTTTAGTGTCCAAGCTTCAACTCCATACAAAAGGGTAGAGAAAATATAACATCGAAGCATTCTTATCCGGAGCGATATATTGATATCGCGATAAAAAAAATCTTTCTCATTCTATTAAAAGTTGATCGCGCAATTTCAATGCGGCATCTTATTTCTTTTGTCTGATCAGTATCTTCTGTGATCCATGCTCCAAGGTATTTGTACGAAGATATTTGTTCAATTTCTGTATTATCTAGTACTAGCTTAACTTTGATGTTTTGTGCTTTTTTAAATACCATGAACTTGGTTTTCTTCAAATTGATTTTTAGTCCATAATCGTTGCAATATATATTTAGTTGTTCAGCAAGGTGTTGCAGTTCTTCTAGTGTTCCTGCCAGAAGGACGGTGTCGTCAGCATATCTTATGTTATTAAGTGGCTCACCATTTATTATAAGGCCCTCACTGATCTCGGCAAGCGCTAATTCTGAGATGGCTTCTCTCTATATATTGAATAACAAGGGTGATAAAATATACCCTTGTCGGACCCCACGGCGAATCTGGATATTCTTGGTCAGTTCGTTTTCAACTTTCACTTTTGCTGTTTGATTCCAATAGAAGTTACAGATGATTCTAATGTCTCTACTGTCTATGTTTTTATTTAATAAAATTTCTTTAAGTCGATTATGCTGCACTCTGTTAAATGCCTTCTCAAAATCAATGAAACAGGCATATACTTCCTGATTAATATTTAAGCATCTCTGCGCAGTCCTTTCCTAAATCCCATTTGTGTATTACTTATGCCTTCATCTAATTTCTTATGTATTCTATTGTGAATTACTTTTAAAAACAATTTCAAGACATGACTCATTAAGGCTATGGTGCGATGTTCATTGCACTCCTTTGCATTGGATTTTTTGGGAAGTAGTATGAATGTTGATTGGAGCCATTCTTCAGGTATTATACCTGTTCTATATATGGTATTGAATAGATCCAAAAGAAGATCAATAGATTCAGTATTCACAATTTTAAGTAATTCGATAGGAACTTTATCAGCCCAGGAGATTTACCACCTTTAGCTTGTTTCATTGCATATTCAATTTCTTCTCGTATAATGTCAGGCCCAGTATCATCCTTAAATTCTTTTGGTGCTTCTGTTCTGTTCTCTAGATATTCTCTCAGAAGATTTATACACTGCAATGACAACAGCCAAGTTACAGACGAAACCAAAGATGGGTATTTTAAAACAAGACTACTTTTGGATGTAGTAAGATTGCCAGAAAACATCAATTTGAAAATCAGTATTCAATAGACGAAACTATGATTCCATATAAAGGTACTCGTTCAGGGAATCTCAAGCAATGTATTCAAAATACGCCTCATAAATGGGATACAAAATATTTGTTCGAGCTGGCGTGTCTGGCTACAAAACGCGTTGTACAATACTCCGAACGCGCTTACTGAAGAAGAAAATTCTTTTGGTGTAGGTGCTAGCGTTGTTATAAGTTTGAGCAAGACCATTTCTGATCCCTTAAATTCAGCAATTTTTTGCGACAACTGGTTTTCCGGCCTGGAGCTTTTTATTTATCTGAAGGAAAAATATGGGATACTAAGTTTAAGAACAATTAGGCAAAACAGAATCAGGGGATGTATAATGGAAAGCGATAAGGTAATGACAAAACGTGGCAAAGGATCATATATGTATAAGTCTGATACCGAAAAGGGAATTATTGTTACTAAATGAAGTGACAATAAATGTGTACTTTTAACAAGTACTTTTTGTGGGATTCAACCACTAACTTATGTACAAAGATTCTGTAAAACTAAGAAAAGAAAAGTAAATGTACCCTGTCTCTCTCTAATTACCGAATATAACAAGCACATGAGAGGGGTTGATAAGGCAAACTCTTTACTTGAATTGTATAGAAGTCTAAGTAGATCCAAGAGATGGTATTTTTCCATTCTGACTTGGATATTGGACATATGTGTCATCAATGCATAGATTCTCTATAAAAATAACTGCACAGCTCTAAAAGAAAAACTTATACCTTTGAAAGCGTTTAGACTAGAGCTAGCACGTTCTCTTTCACGCACAGGAAAAGAAAGTAAAAAAGGTAGACCTTCCCTGCAGCCTAAAAATAAAATTCATGTCATTCAAGTATAGTCCTAAAAGATATAAAAAACATTCAAGTATAGCTAAAATCATAACAGTAAAGAGCGGATAAACAAGAGTCAGTTATGTCACTTTTATACCCAAAAATTATTTATAAAATACGGAAATAAAAATTGTTGTTTTTCTAGAAAGAACACATCTACAGATATTTAGTAAAACCAATGTGGGCATAGGCATTTAACTCTGGAGGACCTTCACTCAATCGCACTCATAAGTATAGCAGATATTTCAGAACAAATACCCTAGCTCAGCGTTTCCCAAAGTGTTGAAACCTAGCCTATAAAGGTGCCACAGAGAACGAGAGCTATTAGTTGTGGGGTTGGTGGGAGGGGGTGATATTAACCATTACATTTTCTATTCACTTATTTCAATTTTTTTTTCAATCGCAAAGAGTAGAAACTTTAAAATCATATATTATATACAACGAAAAACAAAAATAAAATGAACTCACAGATCCTATTTCTAACAACTTCAAAAACGAAATGTCTTCATTTTTAATGTGAAGAATGAGGCTCCCTTGATTTGCACAGGTTTGTAATATCCGGATAAATTTGAGATAACTGCAATCGAATATCAGGTTCCGCATTCAGTCAAGATCTATATTGTGTTTTAGTGGCCACATAGGTAGAGAATGCTGCTTCACATAAGTATGTTGTTGCAAAAAGAGAAGATTAGTTTTCGCTTTATCTGACAAAATTTTAAATTCATCTTTGAGTTGACACCAAAAATCTACTACGATTTACTTTTAAAATGTTTTCTTATCGCAGAAAGCCGATGACAAATCTATCAGGCATTCACACTGCTGAAATGTTAAGGAAGTGGATGTTTTTAACCTTGCAAGGTATTGATCTGCAAACCAGAAGTTTCTTTAATTTTGTTGTGTAATTCCTCAGGAAAATAATTATGAAAGTTTTCCAGTAAATTTAGCAGATGAGTGTCAAACTTGTTAAAGACAGCTTCAGGTATGTCCGATTCCAGTTTTTCTCTAAATTCTGTAATAACTGGAACGCTATTTAGATTTTTATTTTCACCGATTCTGCCCAAAAAATTAATTTCTTCCTGTACGCTTGTATTTCAGCGTTGGCAGTAAAGAAAGTCATCATCTTTTCCTAAAAGATGAACTTCATTGACCTTGTTAAAAATATTTGTTAAATATGCCAATTTAATTAACCAATGCTCGTTACACAATCGATCACCCAAGGCAAAATTGATGTCAATTAGGAAGGTTCTGACTTCAGCTCTCATTTCAAAGAACCTTGCTAACATTTGGCGCGAGAATGCTACCTTACTTGCATACCCCCATGGCATCGCACATCACTCTAAACAGCCTTATATTCAGTGGTCGTGATTTGATAAAATTCTCTTTACGGTTTTGTCCACGACTACTTTTAAGGAAAGGGGCAAATGACGACCGACGTTCTTCCAGTCATCGCCTTCGCACCGACTGTACACACATCGACGCAGTTATTCCAGGGAATGCTATTGTCTGTAAAAAAGCTTTCTATTAACTTGAAAATTTCGAAAACAATTGTGTTAGTTTTCAATGGTTTGCAAAAAAGTAGATCCTCTTGAAAAGACTATTCTTGAAAAGTGCTGGTACCGTACAAATGCCATTAAAATTGCCAACCCAGCTACATCTGTTGACTCGTCTATCTGTAGTCAAAACTTCTTCTTATTCTTACGGTGCCTATTCGTTCCGGATGTTGGCGATCGACATGGCTATTCAGCCAAAACTTAATAGATTTTATTCGAGAAAATAAAGTAGCTTTTACATCCTCTGCCAAGTCTCCAATGATAAATTAATATCCAACAAAAATAAGTTTTTGGTGACCTATTTCTAATTTTCAATACTGCTGCACACTGTTGCTTTCAGCCATC